CGCAAAGATCCTTAGTTGAACTTAACTCTAAGTTGGACTTACAAATTATGGAGAGCCATTTGTAGTCTAAAAATAAAATACATTTAAAAGCAAAAATTCAAATATTTTAGACTTTTTATAAATTCCACATCAAGAACATGAAATCTCCTTGATAATAAAAAAAAATGAATGATTTGAATCAACATTCTATGCCTTTTAAAATAACTTTTACACAATATTTTCAAAGATGCTAACGGCTTTCCATAATGTTTAAGTCCAACTTAGAGATAAGTTCGACTTAGGATCTTTGTGAAACACCCCCCTGGTCTGTAAGATCTGCTTAATACATGTTTGTGTACCTATGCATATTCGTTCGAAGCAAGTACAAGTACATGTTTATCATTTACCTTACATATTTTGATTGAGTGACTGGGCCGTCGGAATAACACTTTCGGTTTAATGAATAACTCATTGAAACGTGCTTTAGTGTCATTTGCTCTTTTGTTCGTATTGTCTGCATAGGAAACAAACAAAATTTATAAATGGACTTTCATTAAAACAAAGAAGATGACAAAAGATTTTGAGCCTCAACAATGATAAAGGTAGATTTAATATTCTCGACATATTGTTAAATACCAAGGATCCTTCCAAACTTAAAGGGAACAACAAAAAAAGTCTAGTTACAAGGCTAGTCAACACATTCACAAAAGGCTTACATAAGAAATTATTTTCCCTATACGCTCTTTAATCAATATCAATTTACATGTGTAAAATACATATTTTGTGTGATTTTAGTATACTTTAACGATTAGTGTACATTTTGTAGTCCCCTGTAAAGTGCCTATAATTTATGTAAACTATAACAATCAATTTCAAACTGGAGGTTATTTAAAGCCTATCTGCATTAGTTTGGCCGGGAGGGATTAAACCTCCCTGCATGGTTACTGATAGGTGGCTATCTCCTTACATCAGCTCTCAATTAACATAAGAAAAAGGGAACCATGAGGGACCAATTGTCACCGATTAGGCATTGTTTGCTATATCAGGTAGCTATAAGTAGTGCAGTGTGGCTTTAAGACATTGCCTCCCAATAAAAGTACTAAATAAGGAACACATCGTTGACAGTAGAAAAGCAATTGTTAGCATTTTTCACCTTTAACTTGCCCCCCCCCCCATGCTATTGGGTTATCATTTAAAAGGGCAATCCAATCCTTCTACTAAGTTCATTTGCATGAAAGCAGAAAAATGAGATAAACAGAAGGAAACAGTTTGAACTATCAATAATTTCTGTTTTTCTCCCAATTTCCTTCTCCCTTTGGGCACTACTCAAAAAATATATATAATAAGAATAGCATATTATTATAGGTCCTCTAAAAAGAAGGACCCTCTTGAATCATACATATTTGAAAAATTGATATTTTAGTCATGTTGTGTCTTGGAACAAATATATAGGAAAAGTGTATGCCTTACATCACAGAGGCATTACCGATTCAGTCAATATGAAGAGCCATACCTACAGTGATAGTTTAAAAAAACCATTAACTTTTTACATTGTCTGATTTCATTCAAACTTTCCCGGTCTGCTTCCTGATTTTTCTGCTTTCTTCTAGAGTAGTCTGCTATCAAGTTTAGATTTCCCTTTAGAGTAAAATACACAGGACTTTAAATGATACCGAATGCAATTATTAGTATCTTAATCACACAGAAACAACAGATATATATCAGTAGTCAAACTCAAGTTTATTTCCAAACTGGCCAATATGTCCCGTCCTTAAAAGTGAAACACATTTTAGACCAGATGCACTTACCTTCTTTCAAAACAGGAATCACATAAATAAAACCAAACAAACAAACATAATTGCATAAATTACGAAATAAGGTATGTCAATAATGTTATACAAGGGTTGTTATGCTGACATTCAATTAGAACCCAAGCCCTCTTCTCATGCCCTTTTAGAAAACCTACCGATAATAACACTAAGATTACCAAAACAAAGTCCTCTCAAGTATTTGAGGTCTGTTTGCGTTAATTTGTCTTTCATATAATGGCATTAATTGTATAACTGACAAAACAACAGACTTTAACAGTCAATTATTTGTCATTAAAAAATATCACTAAGAATTCATCTCTGAAATAGGGTGTGTCAATAATGTAATACAAGAGTTGTTATTCTGACATTCATTAGAACCCAAGTCCTCTTCTCATGCCCTATTAGAAAACCTAATACCGGTACAACTACATGTAAGTACAAGTCCTCTCAAGGATTTGAGGTCTGTTTGCATTGATTTCTCTGCAGAGGCGGCCCTCTCGGGGGGGGGGGGGGGGGGGGGGGGGCAAAGTGCCCCCACTTTTTCGAGCACCCGAAAAGTGCCCCTTTTTACATAGGAATAGGGCCACTTTTACTTTGACAAGTGCCCCTATTAATTTGTAAAAGTGCCCCTTTTCCTTTGACAAGTACCCATTTTCCTTTGCAATAAGTGTCCATTTTTATATTCTCTTAAGTGCCCTTTTTAATCTCTAGTAAGTGCCCCTAGTTAGGTACGAGAAGTGCATCGTTTCACTTTTGATAGGTGCCCCTTCCCCTTTTAATAACTACCCCCATTTTAACTCGGATAAGCGCACCTTATATTTGCACATGTACCCTTTTCCCTTTCTAATAAATGCCCTTTTTCCTAATGATAAGTGCCCCATTAAAAAAGAGCCCCCTTCTATGGTAAATGACCCTTTTAGTGTACAAGTTACCCCTTTTCACTTCAGATAAGTGCCCACTTCACCTCTGATAAATGCCCTTTAAAATCTGATTGGTGCCCATTTTCTTTTAACTAAGCACATTTTCCTTTATTACAAGTGCCCCTTTTTCATTCACATAAGTGCCCCTTTTAATATCTGGTCATTTGCCCCTTTTCAGGTGCAATAAGTGCCTCTTCTCACCTCTGATAATTTCCCTTTTAACAATATATAATAATATCTTATATGCCCTATCAAAATCTGACGAGGGCCCCTTTTCTGTCGACAAATGCCCATTTCCTATTCTCATGACCAACTTCTTTTTTTTTTTATCCCTGGTGAGTGCCTGTTTTCGAGGGTGTAAGAAGTGCCCCATTTTCACCTCCGATAATTACTCTTTGTACTTTGGCACATGCTCCTTTTCTTTCCTGAGAATTGTCCCCTTTTCCTCTCATCTTTAAATGCGCCCTAGCTAATTTCAAGCGAATGAGAGCAATTTTGAAATACTTACTTACAAAGTCTTCTCAGTCTTCCGTTATGAGAATGTGCTTATAACCCCATTAGGATCCGGTTTTTTTCCTCTTTATAAGATGTAATTTTTCGCACTGCGACCTCACACATCTTAAAATATTTCTTCGATTTTTAGACAATCAAACCCAACTGCAAAGCATGATGCTCAAGCAATATCTTGTATGGTGTATAAAATGAATATTGAAATCTTCCCTGATAATTGTAATCACTATGTAGGGGAATATACCAATGTCTAAAAAATTGTATATTTTCGCTTTGAGATTTCCCTTTGTAGGTGCCTTTTTTTCTCCAGAAAGTGCCCTTTTTTCTTGGTGCCCCCCCCCCCCTTTGGAAGCCGCTCGGCCGCCCCTGTTTCTCTGACTAATGTCATTAATTGTATAACTGACAAAACAACAGACTTCAACAGTCAATTATTTGTAATTAAAAAACATTACTAAGAATTCATCTCATTACAAGAACTCATAACCACCCACAGGAATATTTATTTAAAAATCAAACAAGAAATCATTTTTGTACAAATTATACATCTCACAAAAAAAATGCCTTCGAGAAATGCTATCACATCAATAAAAACTTAGCTTCTATCTATATTCACTGCAATCACATGGCCATCCATGCTTTGCTAACAGCCCTTTTCAATTGTTTAACTTCGTTTAATTGTATAACTGACAAAACAACAGACTTCAACAGTCAATTATTTGTAATTAAAAAACATTACTAAGAATTCATCTCATTACATGAACTCATAACCACCCACATGAATATTTATTTAAAAATCAATCAAGAAATTATTTTTGTACAAATAATACATCTCACTAAAAATGCCTCGAGAAATGTTATCACGTCATTCAAACTTAACCTCTCTCTATATTCCCTGCAATCACATGGCCACCCATGCTTTGCTAACAATTTAAAATGGCCTCTTCAATACTTAAATGGCCATTTGCAGAAATTGTTTAACCTCGTTTAGAAATGGTACTTATCTAACTTGAGGATAGTTAAATTGTCATTTGAAGAACTACTACAAGGAAAGAAACTGCAGATGCCATACATGCTCAATTAATCGCCCATTAAGTTTCTTGATAATTAAAAATTAGAATCCTAGTGCAATTAATAATTTCTCTCAAAAATTCATCGCTGGTGAGTGCCTGTTTTCGGGGTTTCAGAAGTGCCCCATTTTCACCTCCGATAATTACTCTTTGTACTTTGGCACATGCTCCTTTTCTTTCCTGAGAAGTGTCCCCTTTTTTCTCATCTTTAAACGCGCCCTAGCTAATTTCAAGCGACTAAGAGCAATTTTCCCCAAAAGCTTGCTCGCTACGCTTGCACGCATCTAAAGATGAAATACCTACTTATCAAAGTCTTCTCAGTCTTCCGTTATGAGAATGTGCTTATAACCCCATTAGGATCCGGTTTTTTCCTCTTTATAAGATGTAATTTTTCGCACTGCGACCTCACACATCTTAAAATATTTCCTCGCTCGCTTCGCTCGCAAACGTTTTTTTTAGACAATCAAACCCAACTGCAAAGCATGATGCTTAAGCAATATCTTGTATGGTGTATAAAATGAAACAAATATTGAAATCTTCCCTGATAATTGTAATCACTATGTAGGGGTATATACCAATGTCTAAAAAATTGTATATTTTCGCTTTGAGATTTCCCCTTGTAGGTGCCTTTTTTTCTCCAGAAAGTGCCCTTTTTTCTTGGTGCCCCCCCCCCCCACTTTGGAAGTTGCTTGGCCGCCCCTGTTTCTCTGTCATATAATGTCATTAATTGAGGATATTTAAATTATCATTCGAAGAACTCCTACAAGGAAAGAAACTGCAGACGTCATACATGCTCAATTAATCGCCCATTAAGTTTCTTGATAATTAAAAATTAGAATCCTAGTGCAATTAACATTTTCTCTCAAAAGTGTATATGACCTTTTCCCAAAAATTTGAATTTTTTGATTTTGCATAAATCTATCAAATCATCCGTAACTTAAAATCTTCATCTAAAAATCCAAGATTATTCAACATCACAACAGCAAGTTGTTATGTTGAATTATCTCACAACATCACATCCAATCAAAATCACATCAAAATATCAAATCAAATCAAATGTATACCCTGATACTTGAAATAGGCCGAGTTCTGAGAATATCTTTTCCCTATTGCAAAGTCAAAATGAAAAGCTATAAAAATAGAATAATTTCTCATAATAAAGAGTTGTGTATGATATCCCAACTCGCAGTATCCCAGAGATACATGTAATACTAGCAGTAATTATTAAGATTGATGAAATTTATTTCCTCCACTAATCATCAGGTGTTCTAGTTTGTTGTTTATCCCGCACCTTCTCTAGCAGTCCTTCCCTCAGTAAAGCAATTATATTTGGCTGTGTCAAGCATTCAACCAGTGTTGCCATGGTAACATCAACAAATGAATCTGAAGTCTCAAGCGTAGCGCTGGAGGGCACGCCGGTCTCTTGCTCAATTTTCAAATTAGCACAGTCATTAGCTCTGCGTGATGCGGTAAGCTGGGTAACAGACCCATGGCAGGGAACAGGGAACACCGACTGCCTAGCAACCATCATCCCACTCCCGGGTATGGTAACATTGTCACAAAGCTTAATTCGTTTGACAGAGTTCGACTGATTTTGCCCTCGGTCCTTACCCTCCATTCCACTCTGCCCACCACCCGGCTTCACGCAAGTGGAGTCTGAATCGACAAGAAGGCCTTGGGTGGACCTGCCATCATCAATGGGGTCTGTCGTAATAGGAGGCGTTGAAAGGGTAGAAGGATAATAGGAATGAGATGTTTGTTGGTAACTGGACATTCCCTTGGTGTTTCCTAGATTCATCGCCTCAACGTGTGATGCTTTCTCACCCATGTTTACACTCGCATCACCCCCATTCTTTTCATCGGAATCAACATTTCTTTGAAACTGTTCCTTTAAGGTATTTCTCTTGCTAGCTTGGCAGTGTCTCAAAGAAGGATCTCCTTCTTTTAGATTTATCAAGGCTTCTGGCATGTTTTCCTCCATCTCGTGTGATGTTTTTGAGTAATGTGTAAAGGCTGCATCAACTGCATCACCAAGCAAAGCCAAATTGGTACTTGCGCTTGTAGCCTCCTAGAAATAAGAATAAAATTAATAAAAATTGTAAATAAAAAGTAGTCTAACACAAAAATAAAAAGGTATGGAGAACAGCATATGGTAAACAGTAGTGTGTTCATAGTTTGTTCAATTACTGGATAATCCCAACTACGGACAAATGACCAAATCACAAATACCTAAATAATCAACATTCCTCTTTTTATATGAATCTTGCGCTGTGTCTTTGTTTCTTAATCTGGCACTTTTCAAAGATCTATCAAAGAATATTGAGTTACTACCTTTCAACTCCAATGCCAACATTACAATACCAGAACCACAAAACCTAACTCAACTATGTATGTAAGCCGAAAGAGACGAGATCACGGTGAGAAGAAATAAAAGATGGCTTCTTCGACACTAAATAATGGAAAAATCTAAAAATCCTTTATTTCCTTTTCCCTAATCAATCCAACCTTCATCATAAAGCTCTTGATGATGAATATTTTTTTGGGGGTGAGACGTAGAACAAAACCTATGGGAATAGGAAACTTCAGTAGTCAGCAGGTTAAATGTGTTAATACATGTTACAGAGATGAAAAATTGAATAACAAAGCAATAACAGCATAAAACAAACAGAATGATTTTTGATACATAATAACTATTTCCTTGTGTTTCTTGTTGCCTCTGACTTCAGTATTCTATCACCTGATTTATCTTTTCTCTCTCACTGGTTGGTCTCATCTCTTGAACAGCATATTAACATTAAAAAAATTATCCCTCCCTCTATTAAACATAAAACAAATATTTAAAGAAATCGTCAATGGTATTTTTCATTTCTGTTTATGCTACATATAGATCATGTTCTTAGATATGTCGATTGAACCATAGATTATGAAACGATCCATTATGTAATGACCTATTTTTGTACTTTCTAAAACATTCAACAAGGGGCCCATTCCTGTGGCATATTACGATTTTAATTATATCCCAGTGGATTAATTGTTTCTGTAGAATACAATGGCATTGAACAATACTTTGAAGAAATATCTACAAGTAGGGATTTTGGTGTAAAAAAAAATGATATGTTTATTATATAGGTCAGATATGTCGCATGAATTATGTAAACTAGACTTTGTGTAAATGTGACTTTTTAATTCCTATTGATGCCCATGAGATATAAATAATTCACTGCAAGTTGCATACATCTTGAGAAACTATTTAAACTGTCTATCAAATTACAATGAACATTTGACCTACAATTTAATGTGCAAATTCTGTTTTCACTGTCTTGATTAATAATGTGCACAATCATATTTGCATTAATAAAAAAAATATTGATTCATGCATAACTCCAAACAGGAAATTTGATCACATGACAGTTTCACATAATGTGTCCCATCTGACCAATGAACAAATATAAATTTGTTAATTAAAATTGTTATTTGGTTCTAAATGAAAAATCATCTGGATTAGTTGTCTGGTTTTCTTCAAACTTTGAGAATTATTTCTTCCCGATATATTTTCTTCATTTTTTCTGTAATCATTACCAATATATTATATATTCTTTTGTTGTTGCCAAATTCAACTTTGTGAAACGGTCAGATTTTCAGTCAAGTGTTTTCACCCTCAAATTGTTATCTTTCTGGCTCACAGCTTTTACATAAAATTGAGCAATTTCTCCATCTCCAAATTAGAATAGCATTTTTTGTCAAAAGTTTGTCAAATAGCTTTTTTTGTAAAAAAATTGAAGAAGCTACATGTATGCTACTACTTAATCAGAGTTTCATACCGATACTAATTAGGCTCTTAGACAAATACATGAGTAAGGAATTTAAAAAAACAACTCAAATACTCAATGCACACACATAATGCCCCTTACAGTTAAAAAAAAAAAAAATAGCATGGAAATTAGTAGTAAACATTTCATCTGTTCGTAGCTAGAAGGACATCATTATTATCAAAAATAAATGGATTTAATACTATTTTGGCTCTTATCAGATATATTTTCATTAGACTTATACCTTATAACTCACTTTAACGATTACAACTACACATACATGTAACTACAATAATCTCATCTAGGATATGCTTCTGTAAGTGTGTTTATGAAGAAAGGAGATATTAGTTCCAAGAAACCAATATTACATTCCTGTGGGCTCTAGCATCAGAAGGCATTTTAATTTACAAAGGAAATATTAGTGGTAGATGGGACTTGGATATCAATAATGTCAATAACACTCTATTTCCTCTCCTTAGATTCCATAGCATTATTGCGATTCTAGGACAATTACCCCCAGCCAATTACCAGCAGGACAATTACCCCCCAGAAAATACCCCCCCCCCCCCCCCCCCCGTTACATCCACAAATGTAATAATGCCCACAAATGTAATAACGCCCACAAATGTAATAACACTTTACCCACAAATGTAACAACACCCACAAATGTAATAACACTTTACCCACAAATGTAATAATTTCACCCACAAATGTAATAACATGTCATGGCATGGATTAAGGAAAATCGTCTTGTTCTTAACACTGAAAAAACTTGTGTCATGTTAATAGGCTCTCCTGCTAATCTCAAGAAAATTGAATCTTTCACCATTTCATTAAACGGCAATTTGATCAAAAGAGTTCAATTCACCAAATGCTTAGGACTTTTGATAGATGAAGAATTGAAATGGTCTAAACAAATCGAAAACGTAAGTAAACTTACCCAGAAAAATATTAGCATGATAAAGAGAGCAAAGAGTTTTTTGCCTCAAAAATCCTTAAAGTTACTTTATAACAGTCTAGTGTTGCCACGATTAGATTACTGCTCTGTTGTATGGTCGAACCGATTTCATTCTCATACAACTAAGCTGCAAAAAATTCAAAAGAGGGCCGCAAGAATAATATTGAACAAGACATATGACACACCGTCGGCTGATTTGTTCACAAGTCTTAAATGGATGACACTAGACAAGCGGTTTGAGTTAAGTCGCGTTATGATGATATATAAATGCGTTCATAACTTAGCACCCTCTTACCTTCAGGTAGGCTTAATCAATCCTAATGATGTACATGAGCATCATACAAGGCAAATAGACAGTGGATGTTTACGTGTGCCTAGATTTCACACTGATTGTTATAAGTGTAGCCCAATTGTTTCTTCCATATTTGAATGGAATAAGCTAGATAATTCTTGAGAACGGCTTCCTCTGTCAATTCATTTAAGAGATTGTTTAAACAAAGTTGTAATTTGTGAATGGCTCAGCCGTACATACACTACGTGCATGTTCTGTAATATTTACATGTCTTATTCACATAATTGCGACTTAATTAATATTTTCCTATTGACATTACTGCTTACTAGGTTAATGATATATGTTAATTTTGCAAACGAGTATTAATTTTGTAACTGTTCTGTATAAATGTTATAAACGATGTAAATATGTTCATTCAGGGCCCCATGGAAGACCACTACTTGCTGGTGAATGGGCTACCCTGTCAAAAGATCAGAAATAAATAAAAAATAAATAAATAAATAAATAACCACTTTACCCACAAATGTAATAATTTTGAATCACCCACAAATGTAATAATGACTTTACCCACAAATGTAATAAATTTGAAGTGATATTTTGAATCACCCACAAATGTAATAATGACTTTACCCACAAATGTAATAAATTTGAAGGGATATTTTGTCGAATTTGTTCAAAACAAAAACCCTGTAATAAAGCATGGGTATAGCTAACTACCACCTAGCTAACTACCCCCGGACATCTACCCCAGTCAACTACCCCCTCCCCGGACATCTTACCCCATCCAACTACCCCTCCCCCCTGGACAACTAACTCCCCTCCAACTAACTCCCCCCCCCCCCCCCCCCCCCCCCGGACAGGGGATAGTTGGATTGGGGGGGGGGGGGTAGATGTCCGGGGGTATTTGACGGGGGGTTGATGTCTGGGGGTAGTTGCAGGCGCGTACCCACGGGGGGGAGGGGGGCGCACGTGCCCCAGCTAAAATTTCCAGGATCGGTTGAAATTTTGTAGACCCCTTTTTTTTACCTCGATCGATTTAATGTATGTGCCCCCCCCCCCCCAAATATCAAACTCTGGCTACATGCCTGGGTAGTTGCCCGGGGATAGATGTCCGGGGGGTACTTGACTTGGGGTAGATGTCTGGGGGGGGGGGGGGGGGGAGGGGAGGGGGGTATTGTCCGGGGTAGATGTCCAGGGGTAGTTAACTGGGGGGGGGGGGGGGGGGGGTTATCATTCTAGGGGGTAGTTAGCTGGGGGTAGTTGGCAGGGGGGTAGGTGTCCTAGATTCTCGATTAGAGATTATGTCTGACATTTCTTTCGGGGGAGTCCCCTCTCTTGTGGTTGTAGCTCCATGGTAATGAGCAGTGTCAGAACACTAAAGTTACAACAAATCACAGCAATAAACAAAACTGTGACGGAGACGTTCTTAATATTGAGCACTTAAATCAGGCAGATATATCAATTACTTCATTGTAGTACAATATCCAGAAAGACCAGAAGATATTGTAGAAATCAAAAGCATAGAACAATAAAAGCAAGTGGCAAGGACTGCTTCTTCTGTTACGAAAGTGTGTACTGACCAAAATCAGGTAGGTTCATGTTATTTATATACAGTGATCTATGGGAGTTGAGTGTTTCAGAAGTAGGGAAAACTGAAATATAAATGTGTTTTGTTTGTATTTGCCTTTGAATAAATTTTGTTCTCATGAATTCACACCGTGTACCGCGTACCAATTGGTAGTCTTCAGTATAAGTAATTGATACGTTCATCACATGAAGAAAGGTAATTCATTCACGCACTCATGAAAATATAACATCGCAATCAAACGTTTCAATGTCACTAATAGCGTACATATATATATATATATATAAATATATGTTACATATCGTGAACATATTTCATAATCACATGCATAAAACAATCAGCGACAATATTTAAATACATTTAAGGTCACTTATTCAATTACTTTTTTTTCTACGAACATTGAAATTCAGGATATTTGTGGGCGTTAGAATATTTACATGATTAAGAAATCGTCGACGGTCAACGAACCATTGAATCGGTCCCTCCTCTGTGTGTTATATATATATGGACCATTTTGACTGATTCGTCAGTTCGTGTGACCGCCGACCAATCATTTATTTGTGACGTGTTTCATCCACATATGTAATAATGTAATTTATTTTTAAATGAAAAAAAAAGAGGAATAAGATGGTGGGTCTTAGTTTCGAAGATTTGTTTAAATTTCTATTTCCTTTGAAATAACCGGGTCTGGAGGAAAGACTATGCTCTATACCCATGTTATTCCACAGAAATGAGATGGTGAGGTCTTAGTTTGAAGATTTTTTTTCTTCTTAATAACCGAGTCTGAAGTAGAGACTACGTTCTAATCCCATGCTTTATTACCGGGTCGTAATTTGGAAGATGGAGGGGTCTTAGTTTAAAAGATTTTTTTGTTGTTTTGTTTTGTTTTGTTTTGTTTTGTTTTTTGTTTGTTTTTTAACTTTTGAAAAACCGGGTCTGGAGGAAAGACTACGCTCAATACTTATGTTCTTCCACAGGAATAAGAAGATGGGGTCTTAGTTTTGAAGATTTTTTAAAAGTTTTGAAATAACCGGGTCTGGAAGAAAAACTACGCTCTAAACCCATGCTTTATTACCGGGTCTTAGTTTGGAAGATGGTGGGGTCTTAGTTTTGAAGATTTTTAATTTTGTTTGAAATAACCGGGTCTGGAGCAAAGACTGCGCGCTATACCCATGCTTTATTACAGGGTTTTAGTTTTAAATTCGACAAAATATCCCTTCAAATTTATTACATTTGTGGGTAAAGTGGTTATTAAATTTGTGGGTGAAATTATTACATTTGTGGGTAAGTGTTATTACATTTGTGGGTGTTGTTACATTTGTGGGTAAAGTTTTATTACATTTGTGGGCGTTATTACATTTGTAGGCATTATTACATTTGTGGGTGTAACACCCCCCCCCCCCCACATTTCTTGAAAATCAAAGGGAAATCCAACCCAAATAAACAACTACTCTAGAAGAAAGGAGAAAAATCAGAGAAGCAAACAGATAAAAGTTTCAATTAAATCTGACTAAATAAAAGCAAGTTGTGAATTTTTTAAAGTTGTAATATCACTATACGTATGGGCACTTCAAATTGGCTGAAGCGGTAATGTCAATGTGATGTAGTGCCAGACTACTTTCATATCTGTTCCAACACATAAATTTTATATGAATTGAATTATAAATGACTAAAATTTAAATTTTTCATAAAATCATAGCTCAAGAGGGTCTATTCGTTTTAGAGGACCTATAATAATATGCTGTCTATATATTTTTAGTAGTGCTCTAAGGGAGAAGGAACTTACGAGAAAAACAGAAATTAGTGAAATTTTTGTACTTGCAAATGGGAGAATTATCCAATAAGTCACAATCCACTGACCAAACTCCCAATTCGAGATTCGCATAGACTTAGTGATCTCATATTTCAAACATTCATAACTTCCTTACTATTGGTCTAATTCATTTCAACTTTTGCCTTTCTGTTTCTGTTATTTTTCTGCCTTCATACAAGTCAACTTATTACAAGGGTTGGATTGCCCTTTAAAACCAGCTTGTTATCAGGATGGACTTCCCCTCTGATGAACAGGGGGTATTTTTTTTTTTTTTTTTTTTTTTTTTTTGGGGGGGGGGGGGGCTGCATTTTTCAGGGGGGAGGGAATTTTTGGGAGGGTTATCGTCCAGGGGGTAATTTTCCTGATACACATTATTGCTCTCCTTCTCATACATGTACCTCCTTTAAGAATGCCCAACAAAATTACACAATGCCTCAAAGATATCACCCCTTGACTCAGATGATTGATTGATGGAATTGGTTTATTTAAAAAAATAAACATGAAATGCAGCTCAAGGCTGATAAGGCTTTTTTTACAAATTAATCAGATATTTATTGTTTGGACTACTTGCATAACTAATCAATATGATATGTGAAGCCCCAAGCATCGCACATTTATCCATGCAACTGAAGTAAAGAGACTGCATTCCTCAAGCTAAAAGGGCTGTGCCTGTTTAAAAGAGTCTATCACTTCATACCCTTCTAGCTTTCAACAGATGATATTTTGTTTAGTTCATTTTGCCAAAGATATTGAATTTCATTAATTCATCACATTTTGTTATACACTGTACATTGAAAAAAAGAAGGAAACTGCAGAGGCAGGCATGACACATGCACATGTACATAAATCACCGGAGCCATGCATAGCGAGTAATGTTTGAATATATTTACATTTTTCCACCCAAAATTGTTAAATTTGTGTTTTTTTTAACATACTTTTGATACTTACCCTGCTAATAGAGATAATTATTCAACACAACCCATCACATGAATCGGAAAGTGACTAACGTCTATTCAATTCTTGCATTAGTTTCATAAACATTTTATTTAGTGAATTTCTCACTTCCGGACTGCCCACCCCCACATACCAGACATATTACTCATACTTTCCATTTCCTAATTGAGAATCTCATTACTCTACAAATCAAATCAAATCAAAAGCAAATCCTTATAATGGTTGAAATTGTGATTAAGTTGTCCTTTTCCACAATCAACGCATCACAAAAATTAATGAACAAAAACAAAGATCTTGAATGTATATATCCCTAGGCCATCATGTGAACGTGCTCACTCACCTCTGTGGGATTAAGCCATCGAGCGACGCTTTCCTGATCATCAGCTTCATGTCCTTCCAGCGACATCAAGCCGCAAACCAGAGTTCGAGCGATGGCCTCATCAACGCGACTTACATGGTCACTTTCCTGTCACGGATTATAAGGCATGATGGATAAATGTCACCTTGATACAAGTTCCTCTACGATATATAGTGACATTTACATGTTTCAGGATATAATTAACAAAAAATCAAGGTCTAAAATGCTCTTTTTCATAACCTGTTACAGGAAATTAATAAATGTTATGACATTTATTAAAAACGAGTTCATGCATGGTACTCTATTGAATATTACCAATACCGGTAGTAAATATGTCACATGTACGTGAGTCATTTCAAGTTTATCTTGCTTTACAATCTCTTCATGTGTCCTCATAAGGGATTACTTTTTGTTTTTGTTCTTGTTGTTGTTTTTCATATTAAAATATGCAGTGCAATTTTGGAATAAAAACCTTCCTAATTCAACAGAAGTGAATTAAAGTATTATGTTTCAGTGCTGTACCTATTAAAGAGGTAAAACCATTGGGAACCAACAATTTGCAAACAAAACATTTTTTCTCTTCATTTTCAGCCTTCAATTTAGTGCCATTTGTGTAGGAGAAGGGCTTCAACTTAGAGCAGAAAGAATAAGTACCCGGTATTGTTAATACTGAAGTGCTGAAGAAAAGACAATTGCATAACCACTAGCGAGCTGTGCTTTCCTTTTAATTTGCATTACCTTTCAAATAGTACTTCAATTCATTCTAAATCACTAGCATATACTTGGAATTACTTTGTATAATGCACTACTCTTACTATGAGAAGGGGTTTTCCCTGTTTCAAGACATGATGAAAATGTGCAAAGTGCCTACACTACTTTTGAAATGCTTGCATTTTCTATACCACGCCTTGTATAATTCAATTCAATTCAATTTACTTCAATGTACAGTAATATACATTGATAGGAAATGCAATATGTTTGGGAGGATTAGAACATCTGTTTGTCACATACTTCATACATGTGCACAGAAAGAGGTTAAAATGATATACTTTGCTTGTATCAAAAATTGTTGGCAGTAGTGGACTTAAGAAACTGTAGGTCTTTTTGATCAAATTTGAATATGAATGGCACTGGGAAGTCTGTAGTTCTAGACTAGTGGAACGAAAAATAATCGTGAATTTCATACTGGTAGTTCTCTTCATACACTTTATATTACATTTAAATGATAACAAATTCCTTTTAATAAATGACAAGAAAAACTGGAAGTTATTGACTATTACTGACTTATAGTGATATGTGATTCCCTTCCTCACTTTTGATCAATTACAAGTATATTTTGAAGTTCCTCACTTTTGATCAATTACAAGTATATTTTGAAGTTCCTCACTTTTGATCAATTACAAGTATATTTTGAAGTTCACATCCCCATAGTGTCAATTTCCTCTTGTCTTAACCCAGTGTATCTTAATGTTCAATGCATTCAGATGAATTCACAAAATAAGCCTTTGTATTCATAAACTTTAAAAAGGACAATACTTTTGATGAATTGTATAATTATACTGTACATGCTATTTTATCAAGAAAATTAGCAACTTTCATGTTTCAGAGAGGAAATTGAGTCATTCAATAAAAGTACAAACATCACTGTACTGTGCACAATCCTTTTCAAAAGCAAACTGACTTCCTGTCACTAGATGGCGCTATAAAAATGAGGTTCAAATGATTTTGAGAGAACCCCACAAAATGTATATAATAAAACAGATGTCTTTTTTTTGTGTGAATAAAAAATGTCATCAAAATCTAAAGACGAAACGATTTCTAACATTATGCACATATGTAATACAAGTTTATACAACATGTAATTTTTTTGATTGCCTTTCCATAGTATAACGATTCAACCCTTTCTGCTGTATATATTCTTTTTATTATCTAACCCAACTTGTGTGATCCTCTCTCTCTCTCTTTCTCATTGACCTTTTGAACAGTTTATAACTAACAATTGAAATGGTTTATTTTCATTTTCTATGACTCAACTAGCTCAAAACAATAACCTTGTGGATACCCTCTTTGTTCTTTTAAAGATACTTTGTCCCTTGTGCAGCCAACATCAAATTCTTTAAAACTTTGCAGGAATTATGTCATGTATGTCCTATCTGTGAAATTTAAACGTTAGTAGTGTCCTAATATTCAAATTATGCAAGGAAACACGTTTACTTTCTAGACTTCACTGTCAGACACTATTGAGTGAGTGACTGACTTCTATTTTTTTGGTGGTAATAACATACAGAAAATGAGCTAGGGTACATGAGCATTTGTCTACATCAATAACCCACTTCTTGTAATGGCCAAAATTAAACTGATTGAATCTTTACGCAGCACAAAACATACGACCATTCAGTACAAAGGTCTGAAAATCAAGACTATTACTTACTGGATTGCAATCACTTAAGTCACTTAAGTCGATTGGACAATAGTCGTAGTTTTCCCACTTATATACATTTTCAAGCCCTTCTGTTTAAAGAGAAGTTCTAAATTAATATTATCTTTCAAATGCCGTTGAAATTAAACCTTTTTCATTTTTTGGCCTGCAAATAGGACACAGCACCTCTCTTCTTTATATACATGCACAATTTATCAAAATCTGACAACATTTCCAACCTTTTCCACCCTCCTTTAAGGTACTGAACTTTTTTTATCCTTCATTGTATAAAAATATAAGAGTTGATGATAGCAACATGAACAGAAAAAGATCAAATTCAGTTAGGTGTAATATAATTGTTGTTTTCTTTCTACTCACCAAATCCATCCAACAGTTTATGCTAATAGATGTATCCAAGCTCTCCACAAAGTGCCACCAAGATTTGGGAACAAACAGAATGTCTCCGGGGTGTAAGACTGCTACATAAGGTGTAGCTCTGCCAAACTTGGGATGATGCTGGAGGTCTGGTGACCTCACATTGACCTGACTGAATACGCTTGATTCCTCGTATGGGATTCTGGTTGGGTACATCAGCTCCGTCTGGGATGGGGGAAATAGGTGCCATTTTTTCCTGGAAGGGGAAATAAATAGAATTTGTTAGTATTATTTACGTACCGGTACTGCAAAAAGAAAGAGAGAGAGGGACAGAGGAAGAGAGGGGGAGATAGGGACAGAGAGAGAGAGAGAGAGAGAGAAGATTAAGAATACATGTAGATCGAGAGAATAAGAACATTCCATCACTGGCATTCAAGTCTGAGATCAGATCTGTCTACTTCAGGATGAACATTTTTATTTCCTCTCCACCACTCCATGGTCAATCTACTGACTGCTTTCCCAACTCTTTTTCTACTTTGATTTCTCATTTATGCTTGTAATCAAGAACGGCGCACCTAATTGATGCAGATAAAGGTCATCTTTGATCCAGCTCTTAACAAGCACCCAGAATATATGACCAAGAAATGCCCTTGATTTGATTGGACTTTATACGACTTCTTACCTGTCTTTTTCTTCTCTTAGATTGAATCTATACATGTCTCCATGAAGTTTGAACAAGTCATCATATTTAATCCATGATATTCTGTATGAGGAATCTTTATTGAGTATAGAAGTAGTTCAAAACTAAGCCAATCAGTTCATCATCTTATAATTGAATAGCCTACAACCATAAGGCAAAAAACTGCTTTCATACCCCTTTTACAGCTTTCTTCTTCCTTTTCTTCTTCTTCTTTTATATTTTGTTATTAAATTTGGCTCTAAATATCTTCTATAATAACAGTCTTCACAACCTTTGTACCCATTCCTCTGACAAGTAAGAACTGTTAATTAGACCTATATTGATCTCTATATTATAATATACAAGCACACTTTACTAATCTTGTTGAATATGCTCGGATTGCAGTGTTGAGGGATCTTTTTTTTTTTGGGGGGGGGGGAGGGGCATTTTTCTGTCTCAGTTTAGGAATGGGGCTTGATATGCACATTGGTAGAGGTGTTGTGGTCCAGTGGATACGTTGCCGGACTGTCGATCACAAGTCCTCCCGCCACACTAATGTCCTTTGGCAAGACATTGATGTACATTTGCCACACTCCACCCAGGTGAAGTAAATGGGTACCTGGTAGGAATTTATTCCTTGAAATGCTAAAGTGCCAATGGTAGCCGTGCTATAGCCAGGGTAATAATCGGGAGTGCCAGGAGGGTCAAATCTGACTGACATGAGCGCTATACAAGAACCCATTATTATTATTATTATTATTGATTTCTATATACCTGCCTCGTATCTGAGCCACTAGGTTGAATCCGTATGTATCCTGATGACAAGGAGTGTTAGCACCCTCGCTGCCTATCCATATAGTACTTTGACCTCCATCACGGTCAAAGCCTAAATCCCTCCACCTCACATCCTGATAAAAGAAATGCAAAAGAAATCATCAATCCTCCAATTTGCTTACTTTTTTTTACAGTTACGATTTATTTTGAGCGGTACAACTGATTTATGTTCAAGTTTAATAAAAATATACCTTGAAAAAAGGTAACTTGTCATTTACCTTCGATGCCATTTATCTTTTATATGTTTTCCAAGTAAAATTCCTCCATCTAACACCAGTGTCCCAAGAACATTCAATTTCTTTCTTCATCTTTTTTTTCCCTCCAACAATATTTGATATCATTATCCCTCCCAAACTGCATTGTTTTAACTTTCAATCTGTACACATTCATGCAAAGCTAATGCATATAACACAGTGTGGCAAAAAATGCAAATCCTCTATCAACATTCCAAAGGCCAATGAAATTAGATATCTCAATCTGTTTTTAGTTTAACAGGCAATTTATCAACATTACATTTGCTGGTACCTTCTACATGTAGATAAATGTACACATGCATATCTACATGTATGTGTACATGTTATAACTCACCTCTAGAACACTAGGGCAATTCTTGAAGAGCTGTTTCATATGTTTGTAATCTGCATAGCACCAGTAACGAGATCTGTCGTAGAACATCAATGGATTTGACGACCCCTCACTAGTAGGATGTGCACTTTCTTCACTGTGCTTTAACCCGTGTACCTTGGGGTCTGTCAGAGAGAAGCGTGAAACAAAAATGAAAATGGGGACAAAAGAAATTGCAAGGAAGATTTATGAACCTATAAGAAAAAACTATTTGTACCGGTAATCAAACTTGGGAAAAAAGCAAAAAAAGAGGAGATACTTTACAGGATATATTACACAAAAGTTACTGACAAGTGAGTAGTTTTTGTGTGTGTAAAACAGTCATAGATCATTTCTCCACCGTGACTGATTTTAAGGATAAAGTAGACTTTAAGTTGGACTTAACTATGGCAAGCTATTCATGCCACTGTTTGCTCTCACCATTATGATCTTTAGATATTATATTTTCCTTCAATAATGAACCAAAATGGTAAATTTTGTAGATTTGTGACCATGATTTGTACGTCCTTTAATAGACCAATGCCAGTTAATGGTGAGAGCAAACGGTGGCATGAACAGCCTGCCATAGTTAAGTCCAACTTAAAGTCGATATTAATCTCTGTGAAACACACTCCCCCCCCCCCCCCCCCCCCAGATCATGCAATAGACAGATTTAATAACAAATTCAAATTAATGGATGTTTCTTTCCTGGGGACCTAGTGACGAGTTATTCCATTAACCTGTTATTAATGAATGAACTACAATATTGAGAATCCAGTCTGCATTCATTAGTTGTTTATAGCTGGAGGGGATATACCTAAGGTACTTTCTGATGAAGAGGTGCCTTCAAGACTATAACTCCCTTTTTCAGACTTATGCAAACTTCATGAAGCTTTATAGCGAGAGTTTAAAATGTATCCTTCAGATATTTTGTATGAAATTTTACATTCATTAGGTTCTGAATCTTCTTTGTAAGAGATGGAAATCTCAGGAGTGCTATTTTCATATTGCCCCAGAGGGAGCTATTTCAAAGCAACAGATATGATGTTCAAATTAATTTTGAATTACGCACAAATATTTGTTTAGTCTAGAAAATAAATATTTGGAATTAAATGTTTAGGCCTACATATATTTGTTAAAAGTCAATTTCCATTTGTTTTCTTCATTTGGTGGGAAGTTCCTAATAACAGACCTCTTCATTATACCACTGGAATCACGGGACTTCAGGTTTTTAGATCTGCAAAAGGGACACACCATCTTAAAGCCATTTTTATAAAGAACATAAGTTACATTAATGACATATAAGACAAATAAATCAACCCTGATGGCCCTCTTACCGTCTATACAATCACTGTCCGATTCTATAGATGGTGACATACATGATATAGTTTGCGGCAGGTCATCTGCTTCAGTGGAGTTCTGTCGACACCATTTACAAAAATCTTTCATTGTAGCTTCCTCATAAATGCAATCTCCCTCAAATTCAAAACCTAAGGAAGGAAGAAAAAAAGAAGGTGCTGTACTTGTAGAGCATATATGACTTATCGTGTTACTAATTCAAGTTAGATTTTTGTGCAAAGAGCAAAGTCTGATTTTTAATCTACAAATACTCTAGCACGTATTAAAGGTGTAGCTCTGGGGAGGTCTTCTGAGCCCATCTCATTTTAAAAATGAAATTGGTATTCTGAGACTGCTTTTTATCTCAGATTGTTATCTTTCATTTTATCAGTAGTAAATATTATTTCTTCTTCTTCTTCTTCTTCCTTTTGAGTACAGACCTCTTTACAGAGTATTATCATACTATACTGGGGGTGTGTGCAGGTGGACCACTACACCGGGGTTTCCCCCTACTCTTATACGAATAGTGCAGTGGGTTCTTAACGTGCAAAAGTAGTGACACTTCTCTACACGGGGCCTCCTTTTAACATCCTATCCGAGGGACGGAGTGTTTTCCACTTGACATAACCTGCGTCTATGAACAAGGGAAGGGGCACGTTAACACACAACGCAGGCTTCAGTCATCCGCCTGTGTGGGAGTCGAACCCGGGATCTTTGGTTCGACAGACGGACGCTTTACCGACTGAGCCAACTCGCCTCCTTTAATTATCAAACAGTCAACAGTAAGTTGAACAGTTACCAAATGTGTTTTTCCTTTTCTCTGAATCTTCTACCTTCTGTTGTCAATATCGATTCAAGATAATCAGTAGGGGCGCTGGTCCAAGAATGAGGATCGTCCCCATAAACAAGGATATCCTCATAAACGAGGACAAAATGCGTCCTCAAAAATAAGAGTTGTCTGCATTTTTGAGGACGTTTTTTTTCATCGGCGCTCTGGGGGTTTCATGTTACAGAATGGCCTGCTGGCGATGCCAAAAATGGATTCCCCGGGGGAAAATAACCCTAGTTCACCGTCTACTTTTATGGGTTGTCCGTCTTCCCAAGGATTTATTGCTTATAATGTGAAAGTCTCTGTACAATGTCAATGTAAAATGCATCAAGAAAATCATTGCAGAATCCATTTTTTGCATCGCCAATGCACCGATCAAAAATATGAAACGTCTGCAAAAATGCAGGCGGTCCTTATTTTTGAGGACGCATCGGTCCGTGTTTACGAAGACGATCCTCGTTTATGAAGACGATCCTTATTCTCGGACCAGCGCCCCTACTGATAATGTGATAATTCCCTGTGTATTTCATTGCTCAATTTGTTGAATACATTTTTCAAAATTATATCGGATCTGGATCTTATCATCTACTAGTCTAGACTCTAGTAAAATCCCTTAATTAATGTAACTCATGCTTTCAATCTCATTCAACGTATACAATATTTAACTGATCCAATGAAATTTTAGGCGAGCTCGCCTAATATTTCCTTGACTGATCTATTGAATAGTATTTATTCATGTATTGTACATCATGATCACTTAGACAAAAATCCGAAAGCGATTGCCACTACGGTCGCTTTGTCATTGCTGTAATATGTAAACATCCGCAGTTGCGTGTACAGTCTGCCTGAATGAAGTGAAGAACTGAATTGATAAACTTACCCGAACCTTCGACGTTTTTCCGACCTAAACGAAAGCGGATTTTATCATCTCCAAGTAATTCTGATAAATCTTCGACATCCCAACGAAAGCATGGCCATGACTTGGTTATGTCTTTAATGACTGTGGGTTCAGTCAATCCTCGACGTTTTGTGGAAGCTGCCATGTTCCCAAAAGGCCTGTCGCGATGTCGTCTGCTACGGCAGTTGCGCGAGGGCTTCTGCCTTCATATGTTGCACCTCTCTTTAATTGTTGGCTTGCCTGTTACAGCATTTTGATTTTCACAAGTCAGGGGTAGAAAATGATAATAATGATAATATGTCTTATTACCCGGGATGACCTCATCAATATTAACACCGTTCTCCATGAGGCCCCGGAATCTTATTATTCCGGCTTTCACTCTATTTGTCAGGTCCGTAATCCTATAGGGGATCTATACTTATTTTTTTTTTTTTTTTTCAATGTTGGAAACGATAAGGTATACCCCCAACTTGAAGACTTTGTTATTTATGTACTTACTGCATTTATGCATTTATTTACGTACGCCCCTATTTACTTATTTATTTATATATTCATTATCTATTTATTTAATATATTTATCTACTTATTTATCTATTCTTTTATGGAAAGATATGGTGAAGAAAGAAAGCAAGAAGGTTGGTCTAAATGAGAAAGATGATCATTTAGAAGATGAGTGGAAGAAGTGGGGGGGGGGGGGGGGGTCGCCATGGCGCGAGAGTTAGTAAACCCCTCGTAAGAGGCAAAATGCCGACTTTGGTGATGATAATGTTCATTAATCTATTATTTTAGTTCTCCATTTTTACTAATAATAAAAAGTACCTTTTCATAAAATACAAAGTGCATAAAACAGATATACTTCAGAAGAAAGAGAATATTATCATACCGATTACAAAGAGGAACATTGAGAGAAATTTCAAAAAGATGCGTTTTCAGTCACTTCTTGAAATTAGCAATGGGAGTATATCAATTCTTTTATACAAGAGGTAAAAATCGGGTTCCAGGGGATTTTGTCGCACATTCTCTCACCAGCATCACTCTTTGCATTGAATAAAATCGTAAATAGTATAGTTTGTGATCTTCTCAAGCATCCTCACATTTCTTTCTCATATCTGTATTTGTACATGTATGTATTCATATGTTTTATCTCTTTTTTTTAAACAAATTATTACACAGCATCTACTTTTACCCGATTCGCCCCCCCCCCCCCCAACACACACACATTCAAATGGTCTTACAACTGACACACACAATTCTGATGAAAGAGGTATGAATGAAAACATTCAAATTTAATATATTTTCCTTCAAATCAACACAAAAGGTATAAATGCATTTGCTTAAATACCCCCAATTACATATAAATGAAATAGGAACATACAATCAAATATATACAATTATCTTCATAGTATTCACATAACAGTACAAAAGAAAAGCAACAGCTAATTTTTTTTACAAATGACCTTCAAAATGTATTTATTTTGTTGTCATGGTCACCTGTATAAGCATAGGAAGAGAATAGCATAAAATATGAGCTAAAAGCAGAGCTCTTCTGTGCTGAACTTGAAAATACTTTGAATCAAATGGTTGCTCTTGAACGAAGCAAACAACAAGTAAGCTAAAGTAAATGAGAAAAACTGTGCATAGACCAGACAAGATTGGAGGAACATACAGACCACTCATGGCAAATACCATATACATATACATGTATCCTTGCATGTCAAAGGTCAACACTTAAAGCATTCTCATTTTTGAAGTAGGTATACAATCATCTTAATAAAGTGGCACAATAACGCAATTTTCCTATTTTTAATTCTGATATCTATGAAGGAAAGAATTACACAAAACAGTTTTAATAGGCACAAGTGCTAATACAACCTGTAATAATTCAATGTTGAGTTGATTTTCCATAGGATGAAGAAAAATAGGAGGCAGTGCATTAGTTCATACTGACTGTTTTCTGAAGAGTTATTGATCCACAGGTTCAATGGTCCATGAATTCCTTCCTCCTACCCAGACATTAATGAGTCAGATGATAGCGTTTTTTAAATTGACTACATTCAATAGAACATTGTGATTAACAGACCTTCTAACTGCCCCCCCCCCTCATCTAGAAACACAATTATGGTGCCTCTGCAACATATCATACAATTATGTCCTCATCATTGTTATAATCTCCTTTACAAAAGATTCACATTCACAGTCAATGATTATGAATACAATATCAACATGTTCTACCCTAGTTTTCCCTCATACAAAGACAATCAATGATGATATTAATTGTAAACAGTCATTTAAGGCCAATTTGCAAAGTTGCTTTTTCATTTCCTGTTTTCCATTCCCTCCAATACCTCCTAAGACAAATAAATATGCCTACAATGACATTTTTTAAACACAGGCTATTAACAGAGTATGCTTATCAATTAATCACCTCAAGCCTCTAAGGAGGTTCCTAGATGCAGAACATCTTGCCTGTTACAATGATAACTCCCTTATTTATAAATATACATTTCTCCAGATTTTTTAAAGCAATTATAAACAGATAGAATTTAAACACAAATTGCTTCAAGTCTGTATAAGGACTTACACTGATTAACATTCAATTTTCAAAATCATTAAATATATCTAGCACCTAAAATGTACACATGGTTCGGTTCAACGCTACAATACCTACACCATAAATTTATAACACACGAGTTCATATTGATTGATGTATCCCCAAATGAGGGTAAATCATTATATCATCCCATAGTATTATACCCTTGTACATGTTAATGTCAATCCGGTTCCAAGAAATGACCATCATGAACACCATACAACAAGGCAACTCATCTCAACCCTTAGTACTGCTCTCATATCATCTACATTCAATGATAACAACATAGGGTTTCATAACTCCACAAGTAAACACAAGGATATCATAACTAAACAATTCTACACAGTACAAAATTCATTACAAAAGTTGATTAAATATGCATAATAAAAGAATAATTGACAAATACAGTATATAATTCGCACTGAACTGAGAATGGCAAATTTGGAAATTTATTTTTTGTAATTACAACAAAAAATTAAACCCATCCTTCTTCTGTTTGCCTCTCGTTGTTTTATTGTACCTTGTTAAATTGGTCTTCTGTGTAAATTCTAGTTTTATTGAGAAATTTTTCACTTTGTATTTTTTAAGTACCAGTATCTTACTTTCATAAAATTATACCTCTATATGAGATTTGTGCATGAGATTTTACACAAAAGCATATTCTTATAAATACATTACAGACACAAATTAATGCATATCGATGAAAGAAGACATGGCAGAATGGAAATGTAATCAAACGTACAGCAAGTTGCAAACATTCATCTCCTAGGCAAGTTGTCCGACATTCATTCCAGATGGAGACAAAAATTGAATGATTTCATCTATGGTAAGGTTTATAAAGCGGTAAAAGTATGTAGCCAAAGCCAGGCCAGTTGCATGAGGACATTTTCCAGAAAGGTTCATCGCATTCATAATTTTGCAGAAAACAATGTATAGACCACATCAACACTTTCTTTGATAATGTCTCTCATAAAGTATAACATGTAAATATAGAAGAACATATGAATAATTATAAAATGAATTTAATCCCTCTCTCTCTCTCTCTCCATTTTTGTGAAATACGTTATTAGAGAGGTAAGCCTCAAGTTCAAAAAGACATCAAGCTATCGCATCATAGACAAAGAAGTAAACCCCTTCGCGTGTCAACACAGACTTTAAAACATATCCATAAGCTAAAATATTATATAGTGTTTACATTCCAAAGAACTACTGGTACATTTGCCCTGGTATTTGCTCCAGGACCCGGTTTCATAAAACATGATATCAAAAGCAAATGCTAAATTTCTATGACAAATTTGCTCTCGGCCAATCAAAGGCCACAGTTTCAGTAGCTTATAACAGTTATTGTAAGTGGCTATGGATAACAGTTTTATGAAACAGGGACCTGTTTTGTCAAAGATGTGGGATCAGTGCTTGGGTTTAGGTTGGCTTTAGGTTATGTTTAGGGTTTATATGTTATGTGTAGGGCTGGGCATTCACATTTTGAATTATATTTTAAGAAAACTAAAGGTGGATTAAAGAATGGAATGTCCCACGGCACTTAGAAAGTGACAAGTGGTTTGTGCATATATCTCTCGGCCAATGCTACTTTAATGGCTACCAGGAGAATGCATGGTCAAATGTCCCTGTCATATATTATCATATCATATACAGTCTTTGAAGACTAATTCTCTCCAATGAAGGGCAAGTTAGGAGCTTGGAACTGGGTGCCTCTTCTTCAGACCGTTTCCATTGATGGCAGCGGTATCCGTGGCAACACTGTAACAACAAACAAGAGAAGAGAGAATGAAATTTATATTCTGAACATTAACCTATTGGAGTGGCTTTTAGAAAAAGAAAACGTGACAGGGTGAGCAAGAGATAAATAGAAGAAGAAAAGTACAGGAAAGTTGAATTATTCTGCAGCTTTTACCTCATTCCAAAGCCAAGCTGAGGTATCCAGAAATCAATTAATGAAATTGATATTTTCATTATTTTCCCCTTATACTATTCAAACAATCATATTAGAAAGATAGCATAATGAATATTAATACATAGAGTTGAAATGCAGTCCAGCATGACTCTATTGCAACTTTATTTTCTTAGTCTTAAAGGGAAATCCAATCTGATATTAAGTTGGTTTAATAAATAGAAGCAGTAAAATAAGAGAAAAAGGTCTGTAAATGTTTGGCAGAAAAACAATTGAAAATTAGAACATTATGAAATTTTGAAGGTACAATCGATCTAACACAAATTGGCAACTCTGTTACATGTTTTGTGAAATCCTCTCCCATTTACCCTTGTACTAAAATACTTCAAAAATTCATACTTTTCCTCATGAAAATTTTTAATCATACATTCACCCTAAATATAATTATAGCAAATATGTTTTAATACAACCCCTGTATCAAACATATCTATTCTTTCATCAGTAACTAAGATAAAAGTTTGTGAAATTGGAGAGGAGCTTGCAAAACAGTGTTGTCTATTTGTGTTTCACTGATGACAACTTCAAAAATATATAACCTTCCTATCTTTAACCGTATATTGCTCAAACTTTCATTAATTTGTTTGTATAATTTTTCTGCTTTTTATCAAAACCAATTTGTTTCCGGGGTTGACTTCCCCTTTAATAAATAGGCTAAGCTCACTGTTCACTACATAAATTTGTTGGTTGTCCGTGAACCCATTTGAAGGGAGAGTGTTGGATTATCTTTGGCTCATTTTTATTTTCACCCTCTCTCTTTCTTGCCCCCCCCCCAACCATCCAATAAGAAAAGAACAACCCCCCCCCCCTCCCTCAAAGAAAGTTAGGCCACTGACTACAGAACTTGTACGATAGATTGAATGAAATGCATTCCTGACATACCCGTTGGCTAATGCATCACCAGCTGCATGCTTGGTCCCGTTCTTCTCTTTCTCTTCCTTCACATTGCCGTCCGCATCAATATGTTCGTTTTCTTCACGGATGTCTTCAAATTCTGACAGCTCCTTGGTAAAGATCTTGTACAGGAAGATCACAATGTACTGCAAAAGAAAGGATTAATAACACTTTCCTTAAATTTCTGACAGAAATACCTACAAAGAGTTGGAGTGTGTGATTAACTTTTACATAAGATTACCATTGCTAATTTTGTATTTGAAAGAACAGACATAATACTTAATCAACTATGGAAAGTGTATCTCAAAGGTATAACAGTATTGTTCAATTTAGCAGCATTAAATATGAAGATTTGTGTCAATGTGAGTCTACTCTTAATTTAACAAAACAGTAATGGAAAGCCTGCCTTTTCTTAGATGTTCTTAAATCTTCTTTTCTCTTTTCTCATCATGAATAAACTGTTCCTGCTGTTTTACCCATACATCCCACCATTTTGAGAGATTGGCTATTGACTTCCACATAGTATGAATGTATCTTGTGTTTCAGTGCCATACATGGTGATACACACAAGAAGAGGTACTTGGTTTTACTAAAAACATGTAGGACCTTTTGAACAATATCTTTATAATTCTACCTGAAGCAATGATCAGGGATTTTTAGATTTGCACGATGAGAACTTGGACTGCTACGTGTGACATCCTTTTAAGGCAATGTGACGTCCTTTTAATAAGGCACTGGCAGTGACGTCACATTGCCTTAATAGGATGTCACATGAGCAGTCCACGTTCTTGTCGTGCAAATCTAAAAGTCCCTATTGAACACTAATCATGCTTGAACTTACCACAAACCAGTAGATATCCAAGAACATGAGAAGCCACATCATAGAGTTACACTCGATACCGAAAGGTAAGTGGCCTTTATAGTAGGTCTTAGCTGTGCTAGGCAGGACGTTGTACAGGACCTTCAACGGGTACAGGTACATCCTCATTATACACCTGCCAAGGGCAAGATACAATGTACAGTTAATGAGAAGAGAAGTAAAATCAATGTACGCAACTGTGTTTGACAAAGACATCTACAGAATGTATGTACAGTCAAACCTGTCTATAGCGACTGCCCAAGGGAAACACAAAAAGTGGTCTTTGTAGACAGGTTCCTTTAGTACACGTTTTAATGAGAACCATTTTCAAGGACAAAAATGTGGTCTTTGTAGACAGGTGGTCACTAAAGCAGGTATACAGTGTATATTCATTTTTTTTAAAGCCCTCATTTGTTTGTGATCACCAGTTGGTTAAGGGGTCCATTTACTACACAATTAAATGGTATATCACATGGGAATTATGTGAGTGTATATTACTTTGACCAGAAAAGTGCTGCTCAGGTGACGTTACACATCCCCTACTCTTTAAATAAGAAATTTAGAAAGTAAAAAAGTTTTGTATTTCATGAAACCAAAAAACAATTTGAGAGCACATTCACTAGGGTCAAGTCATTACAGGGATTCCGAAAACCAAACTTGACTTGAAACTTGAAGACAGGTCCCGGATACCTGAACAGGAATTTTCCATCAAGGGAAATCTAAGTGGATGCAGTGACATGAGTGAAGCTTTGCAAAGGCAAGTAATTGCCTCCAAATCAATGAAACATGAATCATTTTGGAAACAAAGTTTAAACACCATGGTCCCGTTGCACAAAACTCACCCCTGATGGTAACTCTGCCATCAATGGTAACTTCCATGGAAACCTTGATTCTGATTGGCTGTTGAGCCCTGTTACCATGGTAGGTGCCATTGATGGCAAAGTTACCATCAATGGTATGTTTTATGCAATAGGGCCCAGGTGCATGTAGGATGACAAGAAATTTTTCTTTAGTTGCTCTAAAATTGAGGGTTTGAAGGAAGAAGCAAAGCTTGGTGGTACTGGGTCAAGAGCTGCGCAGGTAATCGTTTTGACTCAGGTCTAGCATTTACATCAATGAGAGAAAAGAGACATTGTAGCATATATAGACTCACCATGATACAGTGAATACAGCAAAGCCAGCATTGGCAAAATACTCATGAATCATGTACTTCTTGTTTCCTCGATCCTTCAAGTAGATGTGACACTTTGAAAACTCTAAGAATATATCATTGAAATCATGGTAGAACACTACCATTAGACCAATAAAGTGGTATCTGTGGATGAGAAAAATAAATACCAAGAAATAAAATCAAATTCATTGAAAGAATATCAAACAAGAAATAGAGTGTGATACTCCCCATGTTCATGTTTCAACCCGTCAATGAAAATTTCGGGGCTCTTTGTGGATTTATCTTTTGCCCTAGGACCCCCTATTAGCAGTCCATTGGGTATATTGAATAAATGGGTTGTTAATAATGAGATGCAAATTGATTTATGGCACTGTGACTATTCAATCCTACGTAGCAAGTTACTCATAGGCAACTGTGAATAACTTTTTATAGTGCCTATTGTTTTGTGTTTATTAAAGTTAAAGACCAATTCTGGTCATGCAATTGCATTGTGAAAGAAACGTTGTGGAATCGATCAGAAAAGGTTGATCATCTAGCATATAATTATTGGTGTGTACTGCAATGTTCTGGAATCTGCCCCAGTCTTGGTAAAATTACAAGCACTGTACACAGAAAGATGTATATGGGACTACGCGACACGTGCGCGATATCTACATGTATCCGGTCCAAATAGATATAATAATTTACCAAATATATCAATTAGTAGGCGGTTTCACATGATTGGTAATAAGAGCTTCCATTTCATTTTTTTGAGAGGGGGCGTTTCCAAAACTGGTCTTTTTCTTTAATGGATAATACAGTTTATGTTCAAGAACTTCAAGATCAAGAAATCTATTCACCTGCATGCATAGGAAAGGGTGATGAGTACAAGAGTGAGAACATGGTGCATGCATAGCACCATGGAATCACTTCTCCATACATCAAGGACCAAAACCGTTACGAGACCATGGAGGTAGTAACTACCCTGAATCAGATAACACATCCTGATATCCCAAGGAATCTCCATATCAGCGGACCACCCTGAAATAACAAAATAAAAAATACTGGTTAGAAAAAAACTCAAATTCATGATACAGTGAAACTTGTCTAAGACCACCAAAGGAAGACAAGAAAAGTGGCCTTTATAGGCAGGTGGACTTTATGTAGAGGTTCCTTTAGTACATGTTTCAATGAGAAACCATTTTCAAGGAAACATAAAAATGTAGTCTTTGTAGACAGGTGGTCACGAAATTACATTCCATTTATTAGGGATTTTTTTTCTTCTTCATGCAGCAATACAAAGTACTGCATTCATTATCCATTTATGGTAAATGTAGCGTGTTGACCCACATGTACATGTTAGTGTGATGCACTTACTGTATACTGGTAAATTCTTGAAAATGCCTCGGGTGTGACATACATGTAGTTTTTTATCTACTTATTTCACAAACTTTTTGTTTAAATCTCTTGATATTATTACCATTGACTAAATGGAGTGAAGAAAGAACCATTCATCAATAGTTAAATCAAAAGATTTTGGATGAAAGATATGGCCAAATTTCATCAAATCCTCTGACATGCAGAATGAAAGACAGGCCAGCCAGTGTTAAAGCTAGCCATACTCACCAATAAAACTCTTGGGCGGATCTCTGAGAATGTCTGCATGGTTCCAGAGTAGGACGTAGGCTACACAGGACCATGATGTAAGGTAGAATGTGAAACGCCATGCACTCTCAGGCATCTTAGCCTGGTTGGACTTTGTCAACTCTAAATACCTCCCTGCAGGCTGTAAAGAATATAAATGTACATGTATATCATTGAGTTATAAATTGTATTGATTTTGTTCTTCATAAAAGATTAGAGGATGAATCTGTTTCATCCACAATTAGTGGTAAAAAATGTTTACATACATGTACATTGTACACTGTTCTACATACATCCAGTACAAAAATGTGTAGAGACAAAAAATGTACCGTAGACCCATGTACATGTACATGTACTGTACATGTATTTAAATTTGAATAATTACTCTCTTCAAGAAATTGTTTTCACTAATTGTCTTAATAATGTTATTTCAAACAATCTACTGTAATGCATGGTAGATGATGGTACCCAACTCAGAATTACTTTTAAGCAAATTTCTTGAAAAAACAAGGTACAAAATAACAATGTTTGCAACCAGGGCTATTGTTTAAAGCCCAACCGCACTAGTTTGGCCAGGTGGGATACCTCCCTGCCTACATACTGTAGTCACTGACAGGTGGTTATCTCATCAAATAAGCTCTCTATTAACATAAGAAAAAGAGGATCATGGGGGACCAATGGTCACCGATTAGACATTGTTTGCTATATATAGAGGGCGGAAGTAGTGCGGTGGGGCTTTACGTCTTAATGTCATTAAGCCTAGGATCATATTCAGTAAAATGGTATTAATAACGCATTACATTGTACAACAAGAATTAGCCTTCACAACCTGCATTTACACTGCAACCAAAAATCACAATCTTCTCACATTCCGGTGTTTGATAAAAAAATCTACCTCTGGAGTGTGATTTTAGAAACGCCTGCAGAAGTTCTACCGATTTTTTGCAGGGTAAAAGCAAACTTGGGTAAGATACCGATACTCTCTGTGCTAACGCATGAAAGACACCAATGAGTCTTGCATGCAGCACAAGCACTACCGGTACTCACCAAAAAATTGGTAAGAGCGAACTTCAGTGTAAATAGTAGACCTAAAAAATTGATAATTTATTAAAATGATGTTTGGGTCTTTGGGATGTTTAAATGGGCCTACATGTGCAGTGGCTTCTTTTGTTTCCAGTATGGGGATCAAATCACCATTGACTGACCCAGGTATTTTACTTTACAATTACTTGTTTGTACTGTACAGTAACACGTACACTGTAGGCAACAGGCCTCATATTTCTTAGCTTCAATGGGTTTCATGAGAAGTTTAATCACAGCGCTATTGTGGTTTCTTCCCCCAAGTCTAGTCTGAATAACAAACAGATTAACTGGGAGATTATCTATACATGTACAAGGCTTATAGAGTCATAGCCCTGGACTTCGATACATGTAATTTTCATGCCTGCATGACTACTACTACTTGAGCATTGTGACCATCCATACATGCCTCATTCATACAACTAGTATTAAACTAAGTCTTAATGAACTACATGTACAGTTTGTAAGTGTACACACTTCATTTACCCAACGCAAAACTGAATGCACATTTTACGCTCAGTGTTTCACCATCAATTGTATGGAAGCAGGAGACCGTCAAAAACATGGATATACGTCGTGTCGTAATTCGAATTGCCACACTACCTAAATAATTACGTCGTGTAGTAATTCGAATTGCCACACTACCTAAATAATTACGTCGTGTCGTAATTCGAATTGCTACACGACGTAATTCCGAATTACTGCCCAACGATTTAACGTCATGACGTTAAATGAATTAACTACACGACGTTAAATAATTAAGGTCGTGTAGTAATTCGAATTGCCACACTACCTAAATAATTACGTCGTGTTGTAATTAATTACTGCTCAACAATTTAACGTCGTGTAGTTAAATCATTTAACGTCGTGTAGTTAATTCATTTAACGTCGTGTAGTTAAATCAACCAATGAGACCGTTCGTAATATATGCGATGCGAAGACCGGCCACTACTATAGCGCGCACGAACGCGCATCGTATACATATTTTTGGCGCGCAAATATGATCTTCGCATCGCATACATTACGAAAGACCTCATTGGTTGATTTAACTACACGACGTTTTATTAACTACACGACGTTAAATGATTTAACTACACGACGTTAAATCGTTGAGCAGTAATTAATTACAACACGACGTAATTCTTTAGGTCGTGTGTTAATTCGAATTACGACACTACGTAATTATTTAGGTCGTGTAGTAATTTGAATTGCTACACGACCTTAATTATTTAACGTCGTGTAGTTAATTCATTTAACGTCATGACGTTAAATCGTTGGGCAGTAATTCGGAATTACGTCGTGTAGCAATTCGAATTACGACACGACGTAATTATTTAGGTAGTGTGGCAATTCGAATTACTACACGACGTAATTATTTAGGTAGTGTGGCAATTCGAATTACGACACAACGTATATCCATGTTTTTGACGGTCTCCTGCTTCCATACAATTGCTCATCAAACACAATTTGAGTAGCGTATATTATTTTCAAGTAAGAGCAAACATATATTTTTTAATTACCTTTTAAGCAATTATTACAAATACGCTTTGCTCAGATGTGTGGGTTTCACTGATAAATGTTATTCACTTGGAAGTTGGGACCATGCCAATGCTACAGTATATGGCTACATGCGTGTGTTTAAAAAATACATGTACTGTAACAGTAGTGTACAACTACAAGTACTGTAGATATGAGTCAGCTTGTAAACTTTTTGATTGCCAAAATATGTTTAGGGTGACCAACTCAATGACACGAAGGCAACTGCCTTTTTGAGCTCAGAGAATGAATATGCAGTATGTAAACAACTCCTGGTTTTCTCATATTGAACTTTGTAATCGAGATACACATTTACACTACAGTGATTAAATACTAATGAAGATTTGGTGACTTTTCCTATTTACTAAGAACTTTGACACTAATTTCCTGCCAAACTTTATGAGGGTAAAAAAATTGACCTACATGTACATGCATTTACCCTGTACAAACTGATCTACAGATTTTGTCCATGTATGTTTACTTTACATTTCATTTTGAGTCTACATCAGTCTACAGTAGTCATCACTTCGTCCACCATAGCTGGGGGCCATCCAAGAGGACAAAGGCCATGACAAAGTGATGATTCAATGTCAATATCATACATGATACATGTACGTACATGATATCAGACAGAGGCATGAGTGAGCATGACCATACCTGAATTAAAGCAGGAATATTTTAAGTATTATGTACATGTACATGTACCATTTAGTCTTGATGGCCCCCAGTTATAGGGACTGACACTTCCATGTCCGGCTCTCTGAATCAGCATATCTAGTTTTAAATGATTGGACTGTATGCCTAGAATGATGATAATGTACAAATGTGCTACTTCTACAGATAAAAACACTTTTTATTTCCTGTTTAAAATTTTAAGATTAACGAATATCGTTTGCAGGAGATCCTTGTATAAAGTTGTAGCTAGCTCATGTCTTTATCAGGCCTTAAATTTCAATATTTTTAGGGCAAGGCCACTTTTCTGTAGGGCACATTCCTATATTACAGCACAAATAGGAAGAATTGGAAAGGGCAAACAAAATCTCCAAGGCCAATGAGAGGGGCATTGAGGCCAATCAAAAAGGCATCCACGGCCATGGCCTTGTGGCCTTGGTGGCCTTGGATTAATTTAAGCGCTGCTCTATGTTTATTTGGGCAGTGTTCCAATGTCACAAGTATAAGTTCACATCCCAATGAAATGTGTGTACATTAACCTAACACATGCTTCATTGGAATGGCAGCGGACTTGCGAAACTTTTGAGTAATGACGTCTGGGGGCCCGTTACTCGAAACCGCCATAAAATACCAAGTCTAAATTTGTGGACATCCCATAGAAACGTGTGTTAATTCTATAACACACCCTAGTTTGAATGGAATGGAATTTAGTTATGATGGCTTGAAATATGTGATCACAATGGCAATTTGGTCAATAGAGTGTGACATACATGTATGTTCTTTGAGCGAGCGCGGACACATTACAGTGCTTTTTGTCTGCGATTCCCCACTGATCGAAAATTTCAGTCATTTTTCCGTCCGTGATAAACAGACAGCTTCTCATATTTTCTGTAATGTTTTAATCAATCTTTACTCGATTAAAAGGATAAGGTAAGAATTCTTGGTAGATTTTTGTTTGAATTCGGCATAGGTCTATAAAAGGGATATCGACTGCTTTAATCCTCGAGGAATGGCTGTTTCTATACTGCCTCTCTGGGAAATTTGCATCCACTACTACATCACCCCTCGGCGCGCCGCTCACCCAGTCGCATCTCGGGCCAGAGTGATAGCAGCGCACGGATGCAAATTTTCCCTTGAGCGTATAAACACATCCAGCCCTCTCGTGGCAGTCGATATCTCCCTCTATAATATTCCCCATAGACCGATGTAGTGTACCTGACCATTGCCATCACTAAAACAAGGAATATAATAAAGATTACGCAATACCTTTTGTCCACTAAACAGCCAACTTAGCTTAGCTGAATTGATGATAACTCGGCTTTACCTGAACCAATTTTTAAAATTCAAAGTTTGTGTTGCTATTGAAGGACTGCTTCTTCAAGCTTCAGCCAGTTTAATTGCATTTTCAGAAATGGAAGAAATTAAGTGTGAATATTATTCACACTTTATTTCTTTAGACCCTACTCAGTTTGGCAGTTTTACTCACCTTGAATATCAGTATTGTAAGAAGAGTTCTGACAATAGTCCATATCACAGCCATCAGTACACCAAATTGAATTTCGCTCCAGGTTACGTAGCTGTACTTGGTGAGTTCATCGAGTGTTCCATTAGATGGTAAGGTACGATAATATTCCGGCAATTCCTCTAGAACCATCCGAAATAACCTGAAGTAATTGGGAGAAGGGAAGTATTCTGACCACGACCACGACATTGTGTCCATTTCGGCAGCCTCCATTTTTTTTGAGTGATGCTAAGCTGCCTGAAAGTTTATCAGAGTCAGAGACAATCGCAAAAGGAAGATTTCATTGATCCTGGCACTATTGGCAGGCTAGGCGCGGATGCTGACTCTATAATGCGCTTTGCATTCAGATCTACTACTATACTACGGTTTACGGCGGGTGGTCGGTTGCTGACGTTTGAGACAACTCGTCCCTCTAAAACTCGTATCGAGTGCCAGTGGTGTGGAAAAAAAAAATTGAATTAAGATAGAAAATTAAAAATCGTGAACTGATAACTCTTCAATTTTCAATTCGTGTACTGTAGGTGACAGTAGGTCATAACCAGGCCCGTAGCCCGAGTTTGATGTTGGGGGGGGGGGGGGGAGGGGCACATACATGTAATTGATTGACGTCCTGGGGAGGGGTCTAAAAAAGTTCAACTGATCTTGGAATTTTTGGGGGGCACGTGCCCCCCCCCCCCGTGCCCCCCGTGGCTACGTGCCTGGTCATAACAGGGGAAGATCCAGGGGGAGGATCTGCTAAAAGAGGTTGGGGGGGGGGGGGGTGTTGAGTAAAAAAAAAAAATAGAGCTCCACATCCCCCTCCCCCCCCCCCCCCCCCAAGGACCGTAGCCAGAGTTTGATGTTTTTTGGGGGGAGGGGCACATACATGTAATTGATCGACGTCCTGGGGAGGGGTCTAAAATAGTTCAACCGATCTTGGAATTTGTTTGGGGGGGGCACGTGCCCCCCGTGGCTACGTGCCTGGTCATAACAGGGGAAGATCCAGGGGGAGGGCCCCCTTGGCCCTCCCCGGACCAAAAGACAGGTTAAAAAAAGATGGTAACATTAATTTTACTTTTAAAAAGAAGAAGAAGACGGGCCCCTGCCCTGGCACTAATTTTGTTGTTGTTGTTAAAAGAGGTTGGGGGGGGGGTGTTGAGTACAAAATAAATAGAGCTCCATATCCCCCCCCCCCCCCCGTTGAGCTAAATATTTTCTCACGAATTGGGCCCCTCCTTGACCCCCTCCCTCACCACCGCTCCTAGATCATAATACTATTTAACTTAAATAGGAAAGGGTCATGGGTAAACCCCGGAAAATTTCTTAACCAAGAAAAAGGAAAGAAAATAGACTGTTCTGTTGGACATAATTGTAACTGCAATGTAAAAAATATTTAAGAATGCTGATAGAGCTCCACGAAGGTCGAAACGGCACTCTTTAAAAAAATATATACTTGGATTCAATGACAGCTTGCAAAAAATATGGACATGAGAACAGACTATGAAGTACATAAAAAATCCTAAAAGCTAATTTTCTTTGGTTTTTGTTGTTGTTGTTTGAGGGGTCATAGGCCTACTGATCGAGACCAACAAATCATGAGGGATATTTGAGAATGATCCTATCTGTTTGGATTGAAATCAATAAACTTTTAATTTGAATTTGAATCTGTCTTCAATGTGATATCGTGTTCACCTAGCTCCCAGGATACTCGGACCCCCGCAGCTCCCACTGCCCCCCGGCCTCCCCCCCCCCCCCCCCCCGATTTCTGCCCGAGTGACAATGATGGACGGATGATTCAAATTGTGGATCTCAAAAGTAAATATCATCGATTAAAGATGCGCCGATTTCGTATTTTAAACATTTATCAAAGGCTACAAGATTAGACAAGGCCTATACATTTGTATAATTTTTCGAAAAAAACAGCACGCTAAACATTTTCAGAAAAGGTGCGATTCGTCATTAGGGTCCATTCAGAAAAGGTGCGATCGGATACACCATTATAATCCATTTCAGAAAAGGTGCGATACGCCATAATAGGGTCCATTTCATGGGTTGATGAACACGGCTGGGTAGCACTTGTGTATGGGAGTGACCCCCCCCCCCCCCCCCCCCCATTTTGTTTAGATAAGGCACGGTGACCAATTCGAACGAGTTTATGTTGGCCGTTTTTTACAAGGACGTGATGCCAAAACCTCAATTTGGTATACCAATTTGGTATGCGCATGGCCATGGTACGGATGAGTGCATGAGTCATGCAATCGCTCCGTAAATACCAATATGAATTATTAAACGGAACTACACTTCTATGCACATGACTAAAAAAAAAAAAATCCGCAATGCTTTTACTGCCGGGGAATAAATAGAACACATACATTTGATCATGTGACGTGATCGAGCATGTGTATCAGTCAATGAAAAAGAAAGGACCACCAAAATTAATGCGGCCATAAGCTAGCCAGTCTCCCAAACCAAGTTATGAGCTCATAATGTGAGGGGCGTGGCCAAGTTCGTGGAAGTCCGCTTATACGTCACGAGAGCCATATAGTTATTACGTATACAGTTGGTCCTAAAGTACTAATGGGAAGAGTCGAGCCAAGAAGTTACTAGTAACTTCTTGGTCGTGCAAAGGGTTTCTATCACTGGCGTACTGGTGGGGGGGGGGGGGGCTTGGGGGGCGCCAGCCCCCCCCCCCCCCAATAAAATTGAACAATGACTTATTTTCAATTCCATATACAAGTGATGTATTAATGTTCGTGATATCACATGATTTTCAACAAAATGCGCGTTTCTCCATTACTGTTGCAAACTGACACATTCCCAGGAAGAGCATTTTTTTTTTAAAGTCACTAAGGGGCCGTGGCCACTAACAGTGACACTAGTAAAAATAAAAAAATCCTTTCCAGAAGCAACTGTGACAAGCACTGCCGGGCATTCCATACTTACATCATTTAACACTGCACATGTACCGTTAAGGGGCCCAGTGGGGAAATTGAATTTAGACAAGATTAAGAAGAGTGAACGGTACAACGAATCATATTCTTTCTCTAATAATTTAATGAAACGGCAAAGCTTCCGCGCTTCGAGGGGGGGGGGGGGTCAACTGAATTCAGACTAGGATTAAGAGTCGAGAACGGTACAACGAATATCGTCTTCGTTCTTTAACAATTTAATGAAACGTCAAAGCTTCCGCGCTTTGCGCGGGAGGGGGGGGGGGGGGGGGAACTGAATTCAGACAAGAACACGATACAACGAATCGTCTTCTTTCTCTGAAATTATTTAAAGAGAAGGTTCATTGATTTAAAAAACTAACTTTAATGTCATCATTGCAAAGGTGACACTTTGATTGGCCAAGGTTATCAAAAGCCAATGCTTGCCGGAAACATTCGAAGTCATAATTACTAACTTTAATGTCATCATTGCAAAGGTGACACTTTGATTGGCCAAGGTTATCAAAAGCCAATGCTTGCCGGAAACATTCGAAGTCATAATTATTAACAATTACAAAACACTTACACCCCATTCACAGTGGCCTCAAACACCGCGACAGCAGCGGGACTGTCCCGCTGCTGTCGCGGTGTTGTCTTCAGTGTGAAGGCTCGGACCCGTTATAAACTATCGCGGGATAACACCGCCTCGCGATAACGCCGCGACAAACTATCGCTAGGCTCGCCTAGCTACAGCAGCGGGACAGTCCCGCTGCTGTCGCGGTGTTTACTCAGTGTGAAGGCTCTCCGCTATAACACCGCGACAAACACGTGTGATTTGTTTACTTACCTATCACTGACCTCTTTTCTCCAGCAATGGGGAACATAAAGTGAAATAGAAATAAAGTAACCAGTGGATTCAAATTGATTTTATTATTATGTAGATTTATAATTATCCAAATAAAAATATTTCACACTTCAAAAAATTAAAATATTCTGACTGGAAGCAATAAAAATGCTAGTTTTTTAAAAAGTAATATGATCGAGGATACAAAAAGCAACTTGACATGTTTACCCTAAAACCCCGCGCTGAAGTATTTCCGGTCATATCGGGGTCACTCGCGGGTCATGTGCCATGCATACACGTGTTTGTTACGGAGGTAATAAAAATCACCCGCTGCAGCGTGAATGGGTACATGATATTTATCCCGCTGCTGCAGCGGGATAATTTTTCTACTGTGAATGCATTTGTAGCGGTGTTATGGCGGTGTCGCCGCTCCGCTACAACGCCGCTACAAATTTCAAAACCACTGTGAATGGGGTACAAGATACAGCCCTGACATAGCACCTGAAAAGCTCTCCGTTCGCTGCTGAGATATGACGTCACATGTTGAACATGATGTGCACAAGCAGACGATGTCCCATGACATCTCACACAATTTCAGTGCCTGTTTGTCATCTTTTCTTCAGTAATTTCTCTTACTTCAATGCCCTCAGGCGAAATGTTTAATCTATTGCCTCACTCTAAAACCCGTGCATGGTATTATTTTGATGAAAAATGCAAGGATTAACAACAAAAAAAGGAATCCGTCGCTTGTAAACAAAATGACGCCATTGTATTTTCAGCTGCATACACCGCGGCATGTTCGGCGTTTCAAGAGGGAACAAATGACGTCCATGCTATCATTCCGGAGGTTTTTTAATTTGAAAGTGTGGTTTCTTTGATTGTTCATTAACTCTTATCCTGTGTATTTACAAACAAAATAATTTAGTTATCAGAATGGGGGTCATATCCCTTTTTGAATGGTGTAAAATTCCATCACATTTATATACACTAAACTCATTATAATTTGAGAAATAAAAGCATTGCAATTATGTTCATTCTTTATGGGATGTCGTCTGCTTGGGCAGGGTTGGTTCAAGTTGTGACGGCATTAAAACATCGTTATTTTCCGGCGAATCTCTCGCATATCCCAGACGCTATGGAGGTTGTTTTATTTGTATTTTTATAAATCACCCGATATGTAGTTAACCTAAAACTTGCATGATGGCCATCTGTTAGCATACCAGTTTCTAGTAATACTATATTTGCCATATTTGTGATATTCTATGAACCCGCACTTTAATGAAACGTGAAAGCTTCCCCGCAGCGAATATGAATTCAGACAAGGATTAAGAGTAATAGTTAAATGAAACGTCAGAGTTTCCGCGCTCCGCGCGAGATGGGCAAAATAAATTCAGACAAGAATTAAGAGTCGGAACCGGTACAATGAATCGTCTTTTTTTCTCTAGTAATTTAGTGAAGTGTCAAAGCTTGGGAGGGGGGGAAACTGAGTTCAGACAAGAACACGATACAAACGAATCGTCTTCTTTCTCTAATAATTGAATGAAACGTGAAAGCTTCCGCGCTTCGCGCGGGATGGGCGAAAATGAATTCAGACAAGGATT